GGTTGCGCTATGTTGCCATATGTTTCATTTTACTTCTAAGAGCAACACAAAGCACCCAAACTGCAAACAAAACAAACATGCTTGCGATGTACGCCGCCTGAGACAGGAAGCTCCAGCAGCGAGTAATTACAACTTCTCAGAACATTACCGGTGTCCATGAAGCAAACATCAATTATCTCCGGGAGGTCATCTGACTTTGCAGAGCCTAAAGCCACTGCAGCATCGTTCTCTGCACTCTGCTACTCTGACAGATCAAAGGATCACTCAGCTAACAGATGACTGTATTCCGTGATCCTGTAATTTCAAAGTTACGTAAACATAATGGCTTTACATGTAAAATAATTTTTTTCTTTTTTTAAAACATGATTAATGGTGTTGATGTGTGGTGCTTTGCAAAGTTACATACTCATAGACTTTGTTCAAAACATATTTTATCAGCATATTTTCTAATAAAGCAACACACTATCCCCCTAAATACAAATGCTTGTTTAAAAAGTTTTTTTCATGCATTTTTGTTTTTATTTATATCAAAATAACATGACTTTCCTCCCATGTTTGATTACTTTTGCTCTAGACAAAAAAAGGAACAGCCCTTTGATAGAAAACGTATATCTGTTTGTATGATTTCATTAAATTGTCTTTATTATTGCTTTGAAATTACATGTGTAACTCTGAATTGGGCAGGCTATGCTTTAATGACAAATACTGTAGACAGTTTCTAAATCAAAAAGCTTAATCTCAATTCAAAGGCACAGAGAATATGATAGGGCAGAGGTATCCAGTACACTGGGCTGAGGCAGCAGAGGTGGGGTGGATTAAAAATCAATGTCAATCAATGGTGCTATATAACTTGTAATTGTGGATATAACTTTCAATTAACATATTTAAATAAAACTTGATCTAGTTATGGTCATTTTAACTGCTACCTGTAACTGTAGCAGTTAGCGTTAACTTTAAAAAAGCCAATTTTTACATTGGTGGAGTTTTTCCAGCGCTTAACATTGCAACTGTTATTTACCCTAAGGTCATGGTGTTATAGTAAGGTCAAGCTTTCACAGGTTTGATCAGATGTCTGAGAATATTTGATTCTGCAGTTCAATAATACCATAACAAAGAAAGGGCCTAAGAAATAGACTGAGATGTTTAAAATGTTACTTCTACCTTACCACTTGTAAAGACTAAAGAAAATGTTGGGTCAAGACTTTTTCTTAACTAAAGTTAGGTCTTGAATGGGGTTGTGTGACTCTAACACATGGATCAAAATCATACCATTCTACTTCTGCCTGTATGTTTGATCATTCACCTGTAGAAAAGGGAGCCTCCGTCCCAGACTCAAACCTTTGGTAGCCTCTAAGAGATGTGTTTGCATAGTTGCCATGTATTTAGCTTTATCAATTGGTTCACAACATGAATCAATACCTTGCATATTCAAAGTTTATATGGTTTGCAAAGCAACAAACTAAACAAAACAGTTTTATAGTTTAAGCTTTGCAGAAACTTTTTTTTAAGAACAGACAAATAATTGGGTTAGTGGGATATTTGGCTGTAAGTTGACCTAGTTGGGGTTTAAACATCTGCCTGAATAAAACATCCTTTCTGGGAATAATTATATATAGTAAAGTACTGTTGCATTCTTAATATTACAGGAATTAGCTAAAAAAGTTTCTTAAAACAAACAAAGAAAAAAAAAACTCAACTCCCCCATCCTTGGTTGATAAATATTTTTCTTATACTTTACAGTTATATGCTACTAACTGTAGCTGTGTCACCTTAAATCCTATTGTACAAGTTGGTGGGTGTAGCATAACAGTTTTGAAAATGATAAATTGATGTCAATGCACTAAAACAATGGAAATACAACATAAAAACTGCATATCAGCCAATTTATTTATAAGATGGTGTTCGCCTGCATGGGTGGACACAAAGAATAACCCAGACTCCTGATCCTTTTGCGTGATATCCTGTTTTTGCAGTTATTGGATTAAGTGAAAACCATTAACATTAAGCAATAAACCCAAATGTGAAGTGAAGCTGCCCTTTTCATTTAATTCATTTGGCCATCTATGCATCCATTCACGTCAAAGTCACGACAGCTTTTCACCCATTAGAACTAAAGCTTTGCTTTTTGAGTGCTCATTTTCATCCTAATGCAATTCAAAGACCTACATTTTGCATGAGAGTTGCTGTAGCAACAAAGTTTCCCCCCCTCTCCCACAGATTCTAAGATCAGTCAAGTATCCCTGATGGTCTGGCAGAAAGTACCCAAGCACAAATGGTCCCGAGAGAAATCACAAGATTTGTGTCCTAGTTAGCCTCAGAATACGAACTATACTGAAGCAAGGTCACTAAAATATCAGGAGTATAACTAGCTTTTAACTAGCTCTTATAAAGGGAATCTGATGCACAGAGAGGATGAGGTGTTCTGCAGTCACTTACTCTCTCCTGCTCAGTCACACTCTGCTACCAGCATTAAATTGCAAATAAATCTGTTCTGGGGGGGTTAGGTCATGAATCATCCGATACTTACTGTGTGTTTTTTTGCACAAGCAGGAGGCTCAACCTCACATTATTTGTAACTGATTGCAGAAAATGACTGTGTGTGCATGTTGTACTCAACCTGTCTATTTTAGGAAAGTTACATCTTAATATGCAGAGTCAGAAAAGGTTAAGAGAAAAGTTCACACATAGACAATGCAAAGGTCTGGTTTCACTGTTTCTTGTTAACACAGCTTAATGGTCAGGAGCGATGGGGAAGAAGTTGAAGCAGTGCTGTCAGATCTGAGTAAATCTGATCAACGGTCTTTGATAAAACTCTCCCAGCAGGCTGAACTTGTGCATCAATCTGGTCTCAGATTGTGATATCATAGAAATCCAGTTTTTAATGAGAGCTCTGATTGGATGGTAGGATTTTTTAATAATATTGCTTTGACTGCTATGCAGGACATATGGAGTCGGGGGTTAGCATTACTGGGTAAGGTTTGTACTGTTTTAGGAAGTAGCAGGATTTCTATTCAGACATCTATTTTCTTCCCACAGTTATTCTTGCAGGGTTGCTGGTGCAATTTATTGTGCAAGAGGAATAATTATAACTGAACCCTATATAGTTTTGAAAAATCCTGCATATATTTATTTGGAAGAGGAAAGAATCTCAGAATGAAAATGAGATGAGTCAATTAATGGCAAATCTACTGCTAATTCAACTCCCAGTCAGTCTTCTTCTTTAATACTTTGCCATGTTTGTTCATAAGCCTTTTTGTCAAGATAAATTAGTTTTTTCCCAACCTGTTGTTAAAAATGTATTTATACAAAGCTGTCCTGATAATTTATTAAGGACAAGAGGCATAAATGACCAGCACTGGTCCTTGGAACCTTCGGCAAAAGATGAGATTTCAACATAAAATGTTTTCATCCTTCCTGGCCTACTGCTTTACAGTAGTGTGACTTAACAGAACATGTCCCCACACAGAACTCCAAAGTTTATAATGTGATAATGTTAAGGATGCTAAATATGTGATTATGATTGATTGTAAAGGTAGCTTTTTCTTTTTAACACTGCAAAAATGTAAGCGAATAGCGCTGGGTAATGCATATTAGCTGTAATGCTTCTTTTTGCTGCCACTAGCCGAATGCACGTAGGTAGCCTACATCCTTCGAGCCATCTTCTTTCATTATCCAAGGTATTCCCCTATTGCTGACTTTAATAAAAGTTATAGTGAAGCGTTGCCTCTCTAAAAGGACCAATTTAGAGAGAAAAGTTTCAGACACTGGACTTCTTTAGTCATCATCCAATCCATAGAGCTAAAAGCTACACAGGGGTGTGCTGGGGAAGTGGTCAGGATGCTACAGCTCCTCACCAGCTCAGCGCACTCTGATGATTTCTCTGAAATTTATGAAAAGACTAATGCTTATAACACATGATAGAAAACTTCATCGGTTTTGAAACTGACTTTTTCAAGGCAGTGTATACCATAAAACCGTTAACCACCCCATGCCTATTGCCAACTATTCTTCATGTAATTAGAATAATTACTCTGAACCTGGCTTTTGACTGACACTCTACACATGGACGACAAGAAAAACCCTTGTGAGATTAGATAAAGTGGCAGGCTGAAGAGGCCTATATGTCAGTCTGTAAACCTTGACAGAAAAAGTAAGTTTGAATCTCTCCACTTAATTAATATTAATTGGCTCACATAATAACAACCATAAGCCATTAGCAATAAAGGTCGATGTCAAAGAGGCTAAAAAAAATTGTAAAATGGCTTTGGCACATTTCTGGTTATATTCCATGTTCCATGTTACAGCTGAAGATCACTTTTTTATCCCTGTTACTAGAGGCGTGTTCTTGCAGAGGCTCCAATCAATACCTTTAAATTGGAATCAGAGAATTAGAATGTTCTTTATACCCAGTAATCATCAAATAAGTCTTCCAAGAGACAGTTTCAAATCAAGAAATATTCTCTTTATTTTCAACATTTCTTTTTGTTGCTATGATTTACATGACAGGTTGCTGTCTAATTTTTTTGCAGCAGCTGAAAATGAAAAGATTATAGAAATCCTCCGGCTCCATTTGACAGGTGCCTATTTGATTTAAAAATTTCACCCTGATGTGAAATCCAGACTGGGGGAGAAACAAATACACTTTGTTAGATGATGTTTTGGTTACCTATTATAGGCACTGTGATCATTCAAGCTATTATATGAGATGGTGGTGATGCAGCCTAAAAAAACAATCTGTTATTTCCGTTAAAAAGGCTTGCACAGACATAGGCTTCTTACAGTTCAGGCACAGCCTTTCATCATCTCAGGTGCCATTATTTCAGCTAAGCTCTATTTCATTTTGTGATTGATGGTTCCCTGGCAGTCTCAGCAATCTTTGTCAGACTCTGGATGTTTACAGCAGGCTCTTGTGAAGGCTATGATGCTATTTATTAATTCTAAGATCTCTTTTTTTTTCTTTATACTCACCATCACTTTTTCTGTCTCTGCTTCTCACCCAGCGCCTGGAAGATAATCACCAATGGACCGGCTGGTTCTGTGCGTGCTGCTGTGTGCAGCTCTGGCTAAAGGCTACAGCTGCCCTGGTCGCTGCATCTGCCAGCATCTCTCTCCCACTCTGACTCTGCTTTGTGCAAAGACTGGGTTGCTATTTGTGCCCCCCACCATTGACCGCAAGACCGTTGAGCTGCGACTAACAGACAACTTCATCACTATCATCCGTAAGAAAGACTTTCTTAATATGACAAGCTTGGTCCATCTCACCTTATCTCGCAACACAATCAGCCAGATCGTCCCTCATGCCTTTCTAGGCCTGCGCTCCCTAAGGGCACTCCACATGGATGGGAATCGGCTCAGCGTCATAAAGAGTGATCATTTCAAAGGCCTTTCCAACCTGCGGCACCTTATTCTGGGAAACAACCAGATCCACCAAGTGGCCCCAACCTCATTTGATGCATTTGTTTTTACCATTGAGGATCTGGATCTTTCAAACAACAACCTGCGCAGCCTTCCCTGGGAAGCCATAGCCAGAATGACCAATATTAACACACTCACCTTGGACCACAACCTGATTGACCACATTGAAGCAGGGACTTTCACTCTGCTCACTAAGCTGGTCCGCCTGGACATGACCTCTAACCGCCTACAGAAGCTGCCGCCAGACAGCTTGTTCCAGCATGCTCAGGTCCTTTCAGATGCCAAGGGCTCCAGCTCGGCCTCCCTGGCTGTGAGCTTTGGTGGGAATCCTCTACATTGCAACTGCGAGCTGCTGTGGCTTCGTAGACTGACGCGGGAAGACGATTTAGAGACCTGTGCCTCGCCAGAACACCTCATGGACAAATATTTCTGGTCTATACAAGAGGAGGAGTTTATTTGTGAGCCCCCGCTAATCACCAAGTCTTATGCCTCTAAGCCCTATGTGATGGAAGGGCAAGGTGTGACTTTAAAGTGCAAAGCCATGGGGGATCCAGACCCAGACATTCACTGGAGGTCACCAGATGGCAAGCTGGTGCATAACAACTCCCGCACTATCCTGTATGATAATGGCACCCTTGATATTCTCATCACCACGCTGAAGGACAGTGGGTCATTTAACTGTGTGGCGTCTAATGCTGCTGGTATTGCCACAGCTGCTGTTGAGATCAGCATGATCCCGTTACCCTTGTTTGTTAACAACACAGGTCACATGCGTGAGGACCCCGGCCTTTCTGATATCACCACCTCCTCTAAAGCCGGCAATGACACAAAAGGCTACGACAAGCAGGACAGAAGGGTGCTGGTGACAGAGCTGACCTCTTCCTCGGCCATGATCCGCTGGCCGTCCGAACGCCACATCCCAGGGATCAGGATGTACCAGATTCAGTACAACAGCACAGCAGATGATACTTTGGTGTACAGGTAAGCCAAGGTGAAGGGGGGATCAACAATGAGAGAAAATAGTGCGACAATAAAGGATTAGGGAGATATGATGTTTGAATCCCCTAGATTATTTAACACAATTTCTGTAAGTTCAACACAAATATACAGAGAAGAAGTACTGCAAAAATCAACTCAACTCCTGATAAATAGTAAATCTGTATAGGCTGGTAATAAAAAAGGAAACTCAAGTGGTATCAAATTGCTTCAGTTTATAGCACACATTAGCATTAGTAGATTGTTGCAAACATAAATTGCATTACAAGTCCAAGTGCCCTAAAGAACTAAATAGCCTCAATCAACATCATTAGAATATAATATGACAGCAACTAAAACACAGTATTTCACTCCATGTAACTGTACTATTAGAAAGTGCAGGAAGTAATTGGCTGCAGCACAGAAGGGACTTAGAAAACTGTGTAATATATATTTTTGGGTTTTGGAAGATTCAGAACCTTTGACTTTTGCAAATTAAAAGCAGAATCAACATAAGAACAGGGTAAAACAAATACATGGACAAACTAGCCTTAGGAGGAACAATAAGGTTTAATGTGACAAATGTGTTTTCACTTTGGCATTTTAGTTTGTTTCATGCCCAAAAGGTTACTTATTGTTGTGAAAACTACAATAATTTGCTTTCTGAGTTTAAACAGCAGAACAGATACCCCATATACAGTGATGTGCATGAATGTTTTTACCCTTTAATCTTGTTTACAGTGTGTCCCATTACAACCTCAGAGTAGCAGCTCATAGGGATCAAATATTCAGCTCTTACTCATTGTTCCTGACGAGCATTATCTCCGGGATGACCTCACCTTTTCTGTGGTCACAGCCCGACTCTGGAATCAGCTTCCACTAGATCTCAATTCTATTAATGAATAAACTTGCTCATACCATGAATATGATTTGGCACTTCTAGGTTTATCTCATTTGCCATTTAATATAAATCCCTGCCAGCTGTTTTACTTGAATTGCTTGAATTATAACATCATAATCAACAACTTTATATATAAAGCGCACTAACACCTGCCAAAGCATTAACAAAGTGCTGTATGTCAAAGATAAGCAAAAAACAAGAAAGCATCATATTAAGATTATAAAACTAAGTAGTAAACAATGTCAGTAGAAAAAAAAGCAATAAGACAAGGCAATAAAACAGATAAAATCAACTACCATAAAAGAGGATAAAAGAAAATATAAAATAAAAAATAACATTCAGTCTCATTTGGATTAAATTAGTACTTCTTTGGGTTTTAAAAACAGGCTGTGTAGTGGCCTGTCTGGCCGAGAAGACTATGTCCCTCTTGTCTCCGCTTAGAAATGGGGACGACCAGGAGCAGCTGGTCAGTGGACCTGAGTTGCAAAGCAGGAACATAACAATGAATAAGCTCTGCTGTGGTGGGGGCCATTTTAAGGCCATTTAAAACCCTAAAGACAAAAGTATTTTAAACTGAACTGTAATATACATGGATAGGCTATCAAGAGAAGCCAGTGCTGGGGTGGTGTGTTCTCTTTTACATATGCCCTTTATAAGAGGAGCAGCATTTTGCATCGGTTACATATGTCCAAATAAAGACTAGCTGACTCCAAGATAAAGGGAGTTACAGTAATCCAGCTGTGAAGAAAGTAAGGCAGAGATTACTGTTTCCAACTGCTGCCACGAAAGAACAGATTTTATTTTTGTGCTACTTTTCTTTAACTGATAAAACAACACTTTATGCAATGACAGTTTAGCCTTTATGTGACTATCACATATAAAATAACTGTCCATCTTAAAACCAACTTAAAATATAATGTTAGGTGTGCAGGATCAATGGAAAGTAGTGCTCCACTAGTTCCAAGAACATGTGCCTCTGTCTTTTCTCCATTAAAAATTGAGACTATTTAAGTGAGAAAAACCCTATAAATATCAATTTCCAAGTTTTTCCACACATTTACTATTGAATGGCAGTCTGGACTTTGACTCTAAGAGATGAGCAGGAATTGATCTAAACCAGGGGTCTGCAACCCTGGTAAAAGATTTTAGATGCGTTTCTGCTCCTCTTCTGCATTACATTAAGTTTGGCAAAGGCCTGGTGAAGAGCCATTCATTTTATGCAGCTTTTTTGGAGCAGGGATACATATAAAATCTGCAGGAAAGTAGATCTTGAGGACCAGGGTTTGAGACCCCAGGAAACCATTAAGCATTAAGTTCTGCTGTATATTAAAGATATTTGTCTTGCTTGAAGGTTAACCTCCAAAAAGAACTGACCTGTTTTAAATTCCATTCATCTTCCAATAAACTTTTATTGATTTCATTTTTCCTGCTGATAAAAAAAAAAAAGAACTTCCAAGAGAATGCTGCTGCCACCACTGTTTTTATTATTAGGTACTTCTGAGGGGAGCTGGTTGCCTTAGATTTTATTTAGGTGCATTAGATTTAAAAAGACTGAATAATATTTTAATATAATGATAGTTTTAGAGGAAAAAATGTGGAACATTTTCTCTTAACTGGACTATTATGCTCTACTTATTCTGGATCTATGCAAAAAAATCTTAATAAAACTTGTAAAACAAGTTTTAAGTTCTAACATGACAAAATGTAAAAAAGTTCAAGGGTTGTAAATACTTTTGCTTAGCACTATATTAACAAGCGTTAATGAACATTTATACAAATAAAATCACTTTGCAGAACAACCCCATTATGGAACAATAGGATTTTATTATACTATCATTATTTCTTCTGTAGTGTAAATGTGGATACAGCGCTAATGTTGAAGCACAGATAAAAAAAAGTATTTACAGTTGAACTTGTTAGAAGATAGGATGAAACAGAAAAATTTAATAGCATTTAGTTTCTGATAACCATCAAAGTCCCCCTTTAGGGAAAAGGAACAAGCTTCTAATTATATCAACACCAGTGTTGACCTGGAGACAATGCCTTTCTCCTGCGTATTTGGTGTAATCTTACACTTGACCGAAGGTAATCACACAACGAAACGCCGTCTTCACAGCACGCTTCAGTTGTCCAACAGCCTGCAGCTGTTCCGAGGAGACAATAGATGTTTTATTCTTTGTTTTATCACCTCTGCTTCAATATTATAAATTTGTCTAAAAGAGGAATATATGTTATAACGTCTTATGAAGTACCATGTCAGCACATTCATTACCCTTGAACTTTTTCACATCTCATTGAGTTACAATCGCATACTTTTGTGATTGACTAACCCAAAGTTGCCCAAACTTGTCAATTGGATAAAAACTGTTTTGTCCAATACTTCCTGTTTCCATCTAAACTGACAGACAGAGTGGTCAAAGAAAGCATCGGAGATGCAGCCCAGATGTGAATAACAACCTAAGTTTTTTTTTTCAATGCAAATCTGGCCTTAATAAAATGTGGAAAGAAGATAGCTATTTTCACAAGAAAGCCTCCATTTCAAAGAACACTGTGGTCATATATATTGAAAACCGATTATTTTGGTCGATACAAACTACTATCCAAGACAAAATGCTGACCTCATCCTAAAAACAATCATAAGCTCATTAAAACATTGTAATGACAACATTTTGTGTCAGTGACGCTGTTCTCAAACATAAATGCTGAAGCTAGTCAGATGGAGATAAATTCATGGCAAAGTAAGAGGAAAATGTTTTGGAGACTTCAAAAGGGGTAGAGGTATTCCTTCTAGTGTGACAGGAACAGTAGAGTTACAGTGAAATACAGTTAAGGTTGACATAGCATTTGGTCAGAATGACTCAAAGTCCAGATATCAATCCATTTATTGGCAAGATTTGATAATAGCTCTTCACACGCATGCTTCCTTCTGCCTGACTCAGCTTAGACCATTTGCCAAGAAGTATCTAAAAACTGTTCACCAAAAACCATTTAGTCTTATCTGTTCTTTTCCTTTAAAGCAACTTAGTAAAAAAAAAGTGTGTGGGGGTGTTTAGGTTTGTTTTTTTATTAGACCTTTACATTTTAACCATTGCTCCGTTTCTCCTCTCTGCAGAATGATACCATCTACCAGCAAAAACTTCCTCATCAACGATCTGGCTGCAGGACGGGAGTATGACCTTTGTGTCCTGGCCGTGTATGACGACGGCATCACGTCGCTGACTGCCATTCGTGTTGTTGGCTGTGTGCAGTTCCACACAGCCAATGAGGTCAGCCAGTGCCGGTTTGAGCCCAGCCAGTTTCTGGGAGGCACCATGATCATTATTATTGGTGGCATCATTGTTGCTTCGGTTCTGGTGTTCATTATTATCTTAATGATCCGCTACAAGGCCTATAGTAGCCCTGTTGAGGGCAAGGCTATGGTAAGCTCCACCACGCACTCGCAAACAAATGGCAGTCAGCAGCGGCTGCAGCGATCAGCTTCCAAGCAGCCATCCGAAGAGGATCAGTGTGATGATCCAGCCCCAAAAGAGTGCATGGCTCTGGTGCTCATGGTGGACAGCGAGAAGAAGGAGGATCTGGCTGCCTCTACTGCTGTCCTTGAGGTGGAGTTGCCTCCAAATGTGGATAAGATGAAGAGAAGGAGCAGCATGGACGCTCAGCGCTCTGGGCCGCCATCTGAGGAGACGCAGACAGACAGTAGCCTCACAGGCTCCACCATGTCCCTCTGTCTCATAGGCTCTAATGCGGGCACTAAAGAGGCTCCCAGGCTTAAGGACAAGAAAAGTGCTCTGGCCAGTGTAGGGTTACTCCCCAATGAGCTGGCACGAACTAGGCACAGATTCTCTTTTGATGGTGGGGATTATTCCATATTTCAGAGTCACAGTTACCCGCGCAGAGCGAGGACGAGGTGGCATAGGTCCACCAACCAACTCGACATGGAATCATCGCCCCTTGCCAACAGGAGAGTTACATTCAGCAGCACTGAGTGGATGCTAGAGAGCACCGTCTAAGGAAAGCAGTGTAGCAAAAAATTAAAAAAAGCTTCAAAAGGCACGAACGTTCATGTAAAAACGCAAAACGTCTACATGCCATACAGCACAATGAATAAAAACAAGCACATTTCTATACTCATGCTGACTTCCTGTGAGTTGCTGGAGAAGAACAGCCTCCCATCATTCTGCTTCCCCATCGTGCTCCCAGAGAGGTTTATTTGGGCCATTTCTCTTCTGTTTTTTGTTTGTTTGTTTTGCAGCGGTGCCTTATTCTATAAATGTATGAATGGAGGATGCTGCTCACTGTAGTCAAAAACCTTCCTTTCCGTCATCGTCGCCCACTCTGATCACGGTGGGAAGTGTTATTTTTCCTTTTCGGTTTTCACTGTTTTCTGTGGCACACCAAGGGGGGGGGGTGGGAGTGTGGCATTTGGATGTGACTGTTTAATTGTTACAAAAAGATAAAAGGAAAAAAAAAAAAATCTTCATCAAGCAGTAACTTGTAAAGTGAACAGCCAGGTACCCTGTTATGTCAATCATATTTTTTTTTTTTCAAAGAAAAAAAACTTTTGCACAGAAGACACGAGATACAAGGACAAGTATCAAAACCAGTCTATACAATATTAATAACAAAAAAAGCTGAATTTTTGAAAGCTGATTTCTAATGTAAGTGGATAAAAAGGGTGATGTTAAAACCTGCCATGGGAGCCAGACTGTGCTATGTTGAATAGGTATTGTTCCAGATGTGACTGTATATTCATTGGTACTGTATCTGGCTGGTCTAGATAAAAGACGACAAAAAAAAAAAAGACATATATAAGTATATTAAAACATCGATGTATGTGTACTAACTATGTAAAGTAAATAAGTCATATGTCACATGACTTTTTACAAAGCATTTGGGTGTTGGCTGCAAGTTTTTACATTAAAAACCTGTGTCATTACACCACTCAGTATTTAGTATGTCCAAGTTTGAACCATTTATCCCCTCAAGAAGGGAATAAAAATTTTTTGTGTGGGTAACTGTATTTGTGATGGGTTTTTTTCTTTTTATATCTTGTGCTGCTCCAGTGTCCACTGTAGCGAGAGAGGGACATTCAAATGGAAATCATAAATATTTCATTTTTCAGTGCTATTTTTAAGGCTTATGTGAAAGTATCACAGCACCAATGGAGTGGAGTGGGATGTGTGACGGCGAGGGACAAACCAACTGGACGCTGCTGAATCCAAATGAAGCCAGATATTACACAATGATGTGAGAGCTGATTGTCACCACAGGGGGGGGAGTAAAAGCCTCCATTTTTGTTCTAATTAGGCACTTCCCTATAGAATTCATTAGTATGATTAATAATTAGCAGAAAGTACCATACAACTCTAAAGGTCTGGTTTATGAGGAAAGCTTAAAGTTAAGTCCTTAAATACAAGGGTTAAGCATTTAAAATCAGCAAAGTTAACTAAGCAGCCTGTCAGCAAGTATATAAATTTTAAAAATAACTAGTGACTTTATCATCATTACTTTAGGTATGACTATAATATAATCATACAACATAATGAATTAACCTGAAATACAAAACTAAATGTTATAAAGTAGTAAGTAGTTGCATTTTTCCAGGCAAAGGGTTACACACTCTCATAAAGGTATGAATTGCATCCTTATTTAAGCCTTTTAATTATATATCTGTAATGATCTTTTTCCAATGTTGACAGATTAGATTATTTTTATATGGAACAATTAAGTCAAAAAGCTTGAATTCATTATATTTCCGTAGTAAAGATAGATAAACAGAAGCAAATAGTCCCTTTGATTTATTAATTCCAAATCAAGATTTAAATAGACTTGAAAGTCCTTGTGTATTCAAGTTTCTAATATCTGACTAAAAGATGTATTGGATGAAAAAAAAATATTAAGAGGGATCATGAACAAACAAGTTGCTTTCGACTGGTGGGTGCCAACTAAGAAAGACTTCCCTGCTTCAAAATGAATACCATCAAACTCCAGTGATATTTTCAGATACCCACAAAGTCAATCCAATGGCTCTGAGAAGCTTACACCATCCTGTAAAATATAGTTTTTTTTATGACATAAAGAATATATACCAAGACAAGCATAGATCCAAACAATCCTTTATAAACGTTACCAGTCAAATGATAAGTAAACAAATCTGCAGGTAGAGAAAAAATTGTCAAAGGGTACAATTACTCTGTTGCCAGAGATTGGGAGTAACGAAGTACAAATACTTCGTTACTGTACTCAAGTAGATTTTTCTGATATTTTTACTTTACTTTACTACTTATTTTTATGGCGACTTTTTACTTCTACTCCTTACATTTTTACACAAATATCTGTACTTTCTACTCCTTACATTTTAAAAAATTGGCTCGTTACTTTAGTTTTGAATCATTTCAATGGAGTTACCGTTATTATTTTTCACGTCATCAATACCAAATTCAATCTAATTGGATGGGAATCTACGTTGCATTTGACGCACCACAACAAGATGAATCTATAGATTCGGCGGTATTCATTCGCGGCAAATCATTGCAGCTTGGTGGCGGTGGCGTTAGCATAGTAGCATGGACGACGAGATGATTGAAAATGAACACAACGGAGATCTAGTCCTATTGGCAGACATCCATTTAAAATGTAGGCAACGGCATGAAGAAAGTGGTTTCTACTTTTACTTTTATACTTTAAGTAAATTTACAAGCCTGTACTTTGTTACTTTTACTTGAGTAAAGAAGTTTAATCAGTACTTCCCATTTTTACCAGAGTATTTTTTAACACAAGTATCTGTACTTTTACTCAAGTACGGAAAGTGAGTACTTTTGCCATCTCTGTCTGTTGCATAGGCTTGCACACCCACATGCAAAAATCTGCTGGAGAAAATTTTGTTTTCATTTGAGCATTTATATTTCTTAGGTGGGGCTAGTCCGCAGTGGGTCATGGATTTAAGTAAGTTATCCAGATGTGAAAATTTACATCTATTTTCCTTACCTATTGTACTTATTTATGCCAGTGTGTTCTATAAAATGTGTTGGATTATATTGCTCTCTTTGTCCCGACTTTACAGCGATATTATTTAGTTCCTCTGTGGAAGGATTCACCCTAGACAGAGGATTCAAATGAGCAAATTCCACTAAAATATTCCTTAGAAAGTTGATGAATCAGGTGGTTAGTCCAACTCACTGAAATCAATTGGATGTGAGTCACAAAGAAGACTGGATTACACATTACAATAACCATCATATTCATCATTTATAAATGGTAAAGAGAGAATTTATTAATGATTTATAAATAGTTTAATAAGTTTGATTAATTTATAATATGCAAATAAACCAAATAGATAATTTATTAAGGTATTAAGCCCATTGATGTTAAGATAAGGGTAATTCCAGCATTACAAGGCAAGCTAGATGAAAAATAAATACTAGGTTCAGGTCGTAAGGTTAGGGCTAAACTAACATGACAGGGCAATGTGATGAATTTACATATAATAAATGTTTAAAATGCAGTTTATAAATTAATATCAAACATTAATAAACTATCTGTTAATCATTAATAAATGGCCCCTTTACCATTTATAAATGATTGCTATTGTTAAGTGGTACTGAACACTGAATGCTGAAAATGAAATTACATGTGCTTCAACAAAGTATTATTTAAAGTATGTGGACACACTTAAGGGTTGTATCTGATTAATTTGCCACATGAAAGGCTAAAATAACTCTGGAATCGTTTAGCAAAGCTTCGTTTTTATTACAGTACAGAGCTGACATTTTAATCGTTTTTTACTTCTAAGAGCCAATTTCCTCTCAAAATGCCTCCAAATTCTCTTACACCAACAGCAGAACAGTTGTATCACGGCATAACTGACTGTTTTAACAGGATGCACACTTAAACAGGTTTGAGAAAGGATAAAGCAGACTTATATTAAGCGTCCGGAAAGCTCCGACCTACAATATACTGAGAATTTAAGGACTAAAAGGATTTAAAGTCTAAAATCCATATGAGGGCCAGGAAATCAACCCATTTAAATGGATTTGAAAAAGAGAAGCTTTTTGTAGCTGTCACCCAGAATTACGAGGGCTTATGGCTATAAAAGAGTATGTGGTTTTTAGTACCAGCTTTGGGGCATTATTTGAACTTTGATTGTATCAAGCAAAAACTGCAGTTTCAAATATCTGTATCCAGTTATTATTTTTTGAAATCACTTCTCTGTTAGATAATTTAATCTTAAAATAAATAGTGGATTAAATAAATCATTAAAATATTAGAACAAGATAGGCCATTCATGCCCATCATGAATGAATATTAGCCTTTGGAACTGTATTTGCATATTTTAGGACTTGCACATTTTTATCTACAATCACTGGTAAATGATGAAAATCAGAAAATGACAGCAAGAAATTATAGTTTTATTTTTGCTTGCTGCAGCAGAAAACAGTGTGGCTGATGCTTCTCGGTGCAGATTAAGACAAAAACTGGGCCACTTGCATAGCAGAGAAAAAATGTCTTGCAGAAATCTGAAGCAAGTTTCGTGTACAATTTTGAGTGTCCTCTTTATATCCACAGTAAAGGAGTAGACTGAGCCAAAGAAACAGGTCGTCCTTTATTCTTCTTATCTCATGCAACCAGTTTTAATAAGGCTTTGTATATTAAACAGCCCTACATTTTCATTTCTGCATTTAAGACAACTGAATGTCTAGGATGGAATTTCTAAATTTTTACTTCCTAAAACAAACTTTGAAACTGCAGGCCATCTCAGGATTGACTTACTGACAGCTGATATTTGGAAATTGTGCAGCAGACTGTTCCTTCCAGCTGGAGATGTATTTCTGTCTGTTCTGATCTGTAACCATTATTCAACACCAAATCTGCTTAGGTAAGAGGACACAGAGATCTCACCCGCCCTGAAGAATTGGCCTGGACAGCCAAACTAGCAGACAGTATAGGGCTGGAACTAAGTGTTTCATCAGCAGTTCTGAGTGGCTGTAAAATACAAAAATGGCCTGAACTCAGTGAGAAAGCAATCACTTTTTTTTTCACTTAAGATCCAATTTAATGTCTAATGCATACTGATGTGGGTTTGACAAGCCCAGTATTTTCTGTGCCAACCACTCTGTCTATCTGTCTAAGATGATCCGTCAACAAACAGCTATGCGGAAACTACATACCTGATTGTGCTAAGTTCTTAAAATCCAATTAGAAAGCAGAATCATGATCCTATTAACCATACATTAAAATTAGACCTAAAACATTTATTTTTTTATATATTTCTTCAAGGTCTTTTTATTTAAAACTAGACACATGTCTCAAAATAAAGTCATTTTTCTTGCTCTACACACAAACCACTGTTTTTGTCTGGGAAATAGATCTGGAAGTGAATTCCTTAGTGGTTAGAGTCAAAATATTTGCCCACTAGAGAATTTAAAATCTTGGACCTTGGTATTCCTCGGAAAATATCTAAAATACTGACAGTTAAGCCAAGGGATGTTTGTCTGCAACACAGCCTGATATGAGGTGGAGCAACACTTCACACATGCAGAGTTGTTTCATGCCTTTTTTTTATTTGAAAGATTTAGAGAAAAAAATTGATAGACCTCAATCCAAACACTAAGTTGTCCATTCCGCTGATGGGAACATATTGTACAGGGTTTAAACAAAGTATTCTCCTCATACTAGAGTTATTTTCGAAATTTTCTACAGCCAAGATTTGAATGTGGATTTTATTGAACTTTACTCCCCCTCAGTCTTCCCCCCACGTCGTTTTTCTCCAGTTCCTATGGACCTGACTGTTGCTTCCATGACTATTGCTCTCCTTATTAGACCTATTTTCAAATTTGGATAAAATTACATAAAGATTGATTTTTATCTATTAGTCTCAAGGTAATTGCTAAAATATACGATTGTTACACCTTTCAGAATTTGATTTGTAAAAAAACGTCTTTCCTGAGCTATAGAATATGTACTATTTTGCGAAGAGTGTGCTTGTACAGTAGTATAAATAAGAGAGAGACTATTATAGTAATAGACAAAAGCAGCATTCTTGATATAGCAATAGCTTCTGAAATCATGCATGTGGAAAGCAAAGACCAATTTATTCTGTAAATTACCTTTTTATGTGTGCAGCTGTAAAACATACTAAGCTCTGAGTTCTGGCTATAAGGAAAACATCTTTTGTAGTATCTATTGTAGTGTATTTGCTCTCATTCAGATTGCTCTCATTTGCTGTTTTTCCATTTCAGGGATTCAGTCAGCTACAACTATGCCAACCTCACAGCTTTTCTTTGCTTGGAGGGAACATTTAGCCTTTTGACACAGACTTTGTTTAACTGCCCCAGGCTTTTGCAGTGAACACAAGTTTAGTCTGGTTCACAAACACTTCCATTGGCATTAGATTATCTAAAAAAATGACCTAATGCCATGGATGTTACCACTAGCACCAGCTCACACAGAGGAGGATGTTATTAAGGTTAGAGAAGTGGAAAAAAAAATCTATATTCTCAGGGTTGTACATAGTGATATCTTTTTTTCCAGATATTACCTAGACGGCAACACTTCACAGGCAATACAACCGGCTGCTCATCACTTCAGCTCTTTAGAGCTTCTTGATATACATTTTATTTATGAATTCACTTCGATCTCAGAGGCTGGTTATTATGGCCTATTCTGTGCATCATAAATAACAATACATTTTCTGGCTGAGGTGAAATTATGAGGATGTGTTTGAACCCTGAAGGCTTTTGGATGGAAACTGCCTCTCATTGCTAAGTCACAAGACCTCTTATCAGAGCCTGTCACAGGGTAATGGCGGAAGGTAATTTCAAATCATTTAAAGTGTGAAGTACTGATTATCTAATCATTATCTGCTGTCAATACATCTCTGCTGATCGGTTCCGTGCCAGTTATTTTCTAAAGAGCTCAACAGGGGGAGGCGCTTCTCAAAAGAATTAATATTTGTTTTAGTAAATTATAGTTGAATACTGAGTAAAGCCAGCCTTTCTGCACATGATAGTATCAGTTTGCTATATTTGGGTCACAATCAACAAAGAGCTGATTTGTCATCTCTCCTTCATCCAACTCTGATACTTCTATTTCTTTAATGAAAGTAGAGCAGTGCAGTTCTAATAATTCAAATGGCAATTATAAAAAAAAAAAAAACGTTCTCCAGTAAATTAAAAATCGGAGGAATTGTTAGAATTAAGAGTAATGATTATGTCACTTATGCAGCAATTCAGTTTTTTAAACAATAAACAAGTTCGAATCATAGAGGTACAAAGTACCTTTTGATATTTAAAGGGAAAATAAAGGCCTATAAGCTACCAACCCACACAGTGCTTTCCACAAACCATGTTATTTTCCCCATTTTTGAGAAGCATAAGATAGACTTATTTCACATGTTAACATCCGTGAAAAAAATGTCACTGCTTTCACAAACTTTCTAAAGTGAATTTAAATAGCTTTTGAAAATAAATTATTGTTTATGTATATGTACATTTACGTTTCGACTCCCTGCCAGAAGAGATGTATGTTAATGAAAACATTTAATAATAACTAATCCTGGCATAGGTTAGTTTGGTAAAGGTAATTGCTTAATTGCCAGTCTCTGAATAAATCTACTAAATGAGAAGGTTGAATTTTTCAGGTTAAGGCAGACTGCCCTCCTAGAATAATAATTCCTTTCCCTTCAAGACCCCCACATACTCTTATTTTAAGACTTTTAGCACATCTTTAAAAGTGCTGAAAAAATGAGAGCACAACCAGTGTTCTTTAAGGTTGTCTTTGTTCATTTACCTCCTTTCTTTAGGGACTCTTACATTAATGAATTACCGACCCCTAACAATGTGGATGCCACCCACCTCCAAATATTTTGTTTCAATGGGTCTTCTTTAGCATTCTTCAAAATAAACAGCAATAAAGCAGAGTTCTCATAGGTACAAAATAAACTTCAGTCAGCTTCTTATCCTTTTATATTTAATATTCCAGTTTGTCTTTCGTACTACAAACATCTGAGCTGGTTCAACATCTGCGATTATGACCAAAACCTCCTTTGCTGCTCTAATTACTCAGACTACAGTAAAGCTATCAGCCATTCTGCCCTTTATCTGCTAAATACTCTTTAATCGGACATCTTTGGTATAAAACCTTCCCAAACCACCTTCAACTCCATTTAATGTTTTAGACATATACAGGCTGTGCTTTTACTGAATTTCTATGTTTTTTTTTTAACTTTATTATTGTTCTTTTTTATTACAGTGATGTCTCTTTACACTTATCGTGGGTTTCTTTAAAACACTTGTAAATAAAAAATTTTTTGTCATACTTCAAAAATGTATGATTAAAAAGGAACATCACATCTGGAGTTCTCTTTACAAAAATCAGACTAGGTCATTTAAAAACTAGGCATGGCAATCTTTTCACAATAAATGTATAAACCTAAAGAAAACGGTAGAAAAACATGCAAAAGCCATCACACTTGATGGATCTATTAAATATAAAAAAAATTTAAAAGTGGTCATTTTAGGACTGAGGTCTGAGGAGGAAAGCCTGGATCAATGCAGCTCCAGCTTCCAGGGTTCCTGTAGGAAAGCTCTCCACTAGTTTTCACATAGCCTGCTGTGTGAGCTGCTGAGGGGAAGCATTACTTCCTCTAAAAGCAAACACAGAAAGGACCAACAACACCAGTCTGTCAGTGAAGACCTCTCTCGGAAGCTAAGGTGAACCAATAATCTGCAGCGGCATCTGTGGCTATTAGCTGTACATCTCAGTCAGTAGAACTTCCACCTGAGCTTTCCTCGCCTGCTGCCCTCCAGTTTTTCCTTCTCTTCTTCTTGGAGTCCAATCCTGAATCTGAATCCTTGAGGCAATCCCGTTTTCGCTTTTTGCGACCGTTAGTCCTTCCCTCCTTTTTTTCATGGCTACGGCTGTCTCCTGAGTTTCTGTCCTCATCTCTTTGAGTTTTCACACTTTTGTCTTTGCGTTGACTTTTGGTTCTTTTTTTTTTTCTCCGCTTGTCTTTTGTGTCACTTCTGTCGTCTGTACCACTGTCGCTGCTAGAAGAATTATCTTTTTTTCTCTTTCCATCCTTGGCTTTCTTCTTCTTTTTCTTCTTTCGGGAGGATTTTTTGGATCGTTTTGACAGGCACGCTTCTGTGTCAGACTTGGACTTCTTCACTTTGCGGTGCCCGGTCTTCTTAATGGTAGCACTGCTGTCACTAAAAAAAAGGAAAGTTTATTAAAGCTGTCAAAACACAAAACTAATGAGATCTTCACATTATCTTCTTGTGTAATAATTCCTCATATTTAGTTTAAAGAGAGAATAACAAATATTCTTTTGCACAACTTTTTACTGTAAAATCAGATTTGTTGCTTTGGAAAATTAGTGCAAATAGTGCAACTTTTGTTTAATGATTGATTTTAAAGGATTAGAAAAGATATCATCTCAACTGCTATGAACATAGCACAACAAACTGGTCATCATACTTGTAAGAAGCTTATTTTTTTTATTCTTAATGGTTTGGTTTGACCGAATATAAAAAAACAGGAAAATCTAAAAAACATTGAAATATAAGACAGCAAAACATTCTTTGTCATATTTTAGAAAGTGTAACTACGTTTTTTGTTATGTATTTTTTGGATACAATCACTGTAAAATTACAGATCATTAAAATACAAAGTCTTAAAATAACAGCAGGATCTCTTACAATGAATACTGCTGGAGACATGTAGAGATTTTAAAAGAATAAATATCCTCCAAGCAAACCAGGTTCACCTTTTTCTGGCAAAGTAAAGCTTTTCTGCAAGCTGACCAGCTGGGTGCAGCAAGCTGTTATAAGGCTGGGCTAGAAGTGCATCGTTTTAAGCTTAATGCAGCCAAAGCAAACTGATCAATCTTTGTCTTTCTCTGGCGTAATTGTGAAGAACTACAACAGTATACCATGGGTGGTTTACCTTCAACATGAGGGTTTACCTTTATGTTTGTGTGGGAGTATGAGCGTAACTGATAACTTTTTATTGATTTTGGCAAACCATGCTTAAACTATTGGGCAAAAAACTTTTTTGTGTCAAAATTAGATAAGAGGGACATACACTTAGATGCTCAAATCGATATATAAGTATTTGAACCCCCTGCTATTTTGTAAGTTTTCCCACGTAGAAATCAGGGATATAATGATAAATAGTTCAAGGATCATACATTGTCATTTCTTTTTTTTTAGACCATCTCTTACAGTGGACATGCACCTGCAATGACAATTTTAGACCCTTCCATTATTTCTAAGTAGGAGAACTTGGAAAATAGCAGGGTGTTCAAAAACGTATTTTCCTCAGTGTATGTATGAAAAAATGCAATAGATAAAAATCTGAATTAGCAAGTTAGATTTAATAGAAAACTAGAAGTCAATATAGCCCATAAAAAAACAAACAAACTGATCTTTGCAGCTGTGACCTAATTCTCAAATATTCTACCAAGTAAAGATTTTGACAATACCAGTTTTTATACACAGCGATAATTGCCCCTTTATCTTCTTTCTACAGTTATTTTGGCAGGCTGCTATGTTTTTTTCTTACCTGTCACTGTCAAACTCCTCAGGATAAAGCTCCTTGAAGCCACTATGTCCCCATCTGTGAAGTGGAACACAATACTTTACAGGATGAGTGCCTTTGTAGCGACTCTGACACCGTATCAAAAGAAACCTTGAAATCAAAAAGCTGCAAAACATATTAGTCATGAAGTCTACATGTACCTGTCAGGATCAGTGGCCTCAAATTCATAGAGTTTGCGCGTCCAGTAGCGAGCGTCTCTGTCGTCATGCTCCGACACTCGCTCTCTGCCAGCACTCATGTTTCTGGATTGATCCGGCACTCGATCACAATGCATACGTCCCCTGGGATGCAGTTATTATTGATATATTTAATTGCACTGACAATAAAAAAAGAAAAGCTCCCAAATACAATTTCTAAACTTTTTTCAGAACAATATTGCATACTTAACTATGACTTTGAGCTGTCAGTCCTTCTGTAATTAAACATATTTTCAGGGTGGATGGATAGATGATACTAAAATCAATTATCAAATTGCATAGGGGCCTTTTAAAAACTAAAAACAAAACAATAGCTTCTAAAGCTATAGCTTCTGTTTAGATGGCTAAATCGCACTGGCATATTTCCTACACCTACCTCCCAGTGTCTGTGTTTTGTTTGTGGTCTGACATCTGGATCTCCCAGCCTCGCATCTTCCACATCTCTGTCTCCTCTTGGATCTGCAGTGAGTAAAACAATATGTATATGTATGTATATTCATGGAACATTTATTTAAAATCACACATGACAGCAGGCATGCTCAAAATATTTCCCTATGAAAGAGCAACCTCATTAATAGTGTATAAATAACAAGTAGGATTCATTTGTTGTACTGTTTATTAAAACAAACAATATATAAATATTGCACTAAAATGGTGGTATCGGTATTGGTGATATTTTGAGAGCCAAAAGATTAAACTATTGCCACCAATTCCAGTTAGGCAATAAAAAGTTCCACTGGATTAATTTTGTATTAGTATTAAATATTTTAATATAGAATGCACCAGCTCAGATTATTGTTTTCTTGTTTAATCAAATTTAACAACCTTGATGCTGCCAATTGTATATATTCAATGCATTTAGAAACATTTCAGACATAAAACCACTTCAGAATTTTAATGTAGATGTTATCAATTTCAGCTCAGCTGAAAGGAGGTCAGAGGTTTTCAATCCACTGAAAAGTTAAATTCAGTATTATGTCCAGTGGAGAGACAACAGAAACTTGGGCAGATTTAAACACAAAGATATTCCTCTGTTGCTGTGAGCTGCTTAGCATTGCAATTACAGGACAATTCTTTGGACTGTTTTGCTACTGAAAAGAGATTTCAAGGTCAACAGCAGATAAAAAATAAATAAGGTGAAGTCCTCAAGATTCTTTTTTCAATAACGGCATATCTAGAGCTCTAAAGACGAGCGCAACACTTTGACACTGAGGATAAAAAAAAAATATGTTCATATAGGGGTTTGGGAACAGATTTTGCCCCGACCTTAATTTCATCAAATAGTATACAATTAATGTTTGAGCCCTTTTCCTTGAAATAACATGAACATCGAAGAACTGTAGTAAAAATAACTCTGTTGTGTAGTAAGCTGTTATTTTGCTCAGCTGAAGGTGCGGATTGGTGCCAGGTGAAAATGACTGGCACAGCTGCTGCATGTTGTCTAAGCAGCTTCTCCTATGATATGCAGTTGCATGCTGGGAAATGAGAGCTTGTCAGAACAAGTGACACAGGAGCGCCATCCACCTTCCAGCCAGCATCAAATTATTTCTGAGAAGTTTTCTCTTTTTGCAAAGCTGCTGTGAGCTCTCCACTGCTCTGGGCAAACTCATGGATAAAGTGGGTTGTGATGAGTCTCTGTTAAGAATAACGTCATTTTTAAAAGCATTCATCAAATACATTGATCATTCTTGACAGACTGTTTTTTTTCCCCCACTCATGATGGTGATGGCATCAGGTTTACGTAACCTGTATGTATTTAACATTCGTAAAGAATATGCATCATACAGCAGTTCAATCTCAATTTTAAAATCTTCAGAGTCAGTCATTAGCATCAATAAATGTATCTTTCAAAAGATAAAAATAGGAAAAAGAAAAAAAGGGTATATAGTTCAGAAGTAGGGCTGGGTAATTAATTGTTGTTGGTCCCATTACATTTAAAAAGAGTACCGTATTTTCACGACCATAAGGCGCACCGTACTAAAAGGCACAGTCTCAGTTATGTGTGCCATTTTTGTATTTAACACACACATACAGTAAGGCGCACAGGACTATAGGGTGTGTTTTTTATATATAGGTACATGTCCTCTGCTACGTTTAAATACCTCTACTGCATATTTAAAAAAAGAGCGGGCCCAAAACTGAGTATGATTGTGCTATATTCATGTATTTATTACAAAGTATTAATCAAACCTGGGAGCTGGCTGTGCGACAGACACATTGCTCTGATGACAGTGCGCTGTGATCACTCCTCTGAAACAGGTTATTGGCGCATAAATGAACTTAAAATGCAGAAATCTGCCGGCAGAATATGTTTGCTTTAATTATCCTGGCGCCTGCCTCCTCGCGGCCGGCCAGAGGCTGCTGTTGAAGGGATTCCTACTGTCAGCGCACCGCTGGTATGTGGGGGTCTGAGTGCAGGATGATAATCTGGATGAACTGACTGCAATGATTAAGTTTTCAGGTGGACTTTCTCACTTAAAAACATATTAAAACTACTTTATTCCCACTGATCACAGCAAATATAGCTGCAAGGTGTATTTATTACAAAGTATTAATCAAACCTGGGAGCTGGCCGTGAGGCAGACACATCGCTGATGACAGAGCGCTGTGATCACTCCTCTGAAACAGTTTATTTTCGCATAAATTAACTTAAAATCCTGAAACCTGCCGACAGAATATGTTCGCTTTTATTATCCTATTATCCTTTTATAATCCTTTAGATTATTCAGATGAAAAACACCTGCCAGCCGCCGCGGTGAACCCCGAGGCAACCCGGCCCAGAGGCTGCTGTTGAATTAAGTTTTCAGGTAGAAAAATAGAGCGGGAGCAAAACTGAGTATGATTGTGCTTTATTCATGTATTTATTACAAAGTATTAATCGAACCCATCAAAGTCATCATCCTTAGATTGTACCAGTTAGTTCTGATGCGCGGCTGAAGCAGCTTTGCTGCTCTGCCTGCGCGGTGCAAAAGTGTGTCTGACGTGCGTTGGGCGGAGCTACACTATCCTTTCTCTGCCTTGCAGCTATATTTGCGGTCCAGCAGCAAAACTTCAATTTTTCCATCTCCAGCAGCAGCAGCGCGTCAAGCGCGTCAGATGCTTAAACGCTCCCGACGCGCTGCGCCTGCTGCTCAAAACGCGCTGCGGGACCTTTTGCTGCGCCTATACGAGCGTCAACCATTGACTTTGCATGTAAACTCGCTGCTTCTGCTCCACCTGCTGCATCCGGTTTACACCGATGTCGAGTGGTTGAAGTTTCTTTGTCAGATCTCCCGCAATAAGCACAGCGTTCATTTGTTTCACCATGTTTTTCACATCAGCTGTGAGATGGGCACACATGGAGTTTTGTTTTAGTCTCTTCTAAGCTTAACACCTTCTTCCACACGTTTGCAGTGTAAAAGCAAAACTTTAACCATCAAGTGCTGGTGTCCTTACTTTTGTCTTATTGGTCAAACCCGAAAACATTGGATAGATTACATCCTCAGCATGAAGATAGATTCTACAAAGTCCTAGTAATGACTAGTGTTGTATAGATATCCATACCAGTATCGGGCAGGGCCCCGATATTGCACTAAAATGGTGGTATCGGTATTGGCGATATTTTGAGAGCCAAAAGATTAAACTATTGCCACTAATTCCAGGTAGGCAATAAAAACTTCCACTGGATTCATTTTGTATTAGTCTTTTTCCTCCTTCACAAAGGTAGGCAGCAGCTTGCTTGCATGCAATTCTTCATATAAACACACACATCAATTTCAAACAGATGGTATCGGTATGGTAACGGCCGATACTGCACAGCCAGGTATTGGGTATCAGTATCGAGGCCAACAAATGGTATTAGCACAACACTAGTAATGACATAATTATTTGATTAAGGTGTGTTGAAGCAGAGATGTTTTTTATTCTATTAGAAGCAGTTACAATACGTTAGATTAGATTAGATGAGCTTTATTGATCTCACAGCGGAGAAATTCACTCGTCACATATTGGCATAGAAGTTGCAGAAGGTGCAAACAGGGAGGAAAAAGGTGCATTAGCATTAGCATATTAGCTTACAGTATCACTTAGCAGTAGAGGGCACTGGGCCCTAGTTATAGGTACAAGATCAGTGGCTCTCGCTGAAGCCACTGTTGACCACTGCTAGTGAAGCCACACTGTACATCGCGGTTAGTGGTGTTCAGACTTGTGAAATCGCTAACTCGCTTATTTTGCAGATGCATTGTAGTGCTCGATATTCAGTGACGTAGACAGCATCTCCCTGTGCAACCTCGTTTTCAAAATTCTGTTGTCCGATTGCTACAAGCACTGTTATCGATCATCCAACTTTTACCTCAACTTTGGCCATTCAAACCTAATCAAAGGTTAGTAACTTCTTCTTTAATAGCATATACTCCTTTAAGACCATATATTTTACTATAGTTTATTTATGTGAAGTTTGAGCATGATTTGACAATTCGCACATGGTTTCCTTGATTCTGCAAAAAACATTTCAGATTACTAAAATAGTGTCATCGCTTATTTTACTGTACAAATCAAATCAAATGTTTTCCTAAGAAAATTGAACCCCCTGAAAATTGATCTTTTAATTGTTAATTAGCATGAATTACTTCATTGGAGAAGTTCAGATTAACTTTGCAGATATATAATTAATAAGGTTAATTCACAAAAGGTTATGGAAATAGATTTTAATCTCTTATACTGCATATTTTGCATATTCTACTATGTCGGTAGATGGCGATAAGTTATTACAATTGCTGAATTATTTAAAAAAATCATGTTTTTTACTTTTCATTTAGAATTGAGAAAGTAAATTATACAACTTATAAGTCCTGAAAATTTCAATGAGCTATGATCATTATTTCTGAAGTTAAAAGCAATAACTGGTGAAAAGTTTTTAAGGATAGTCCTATAGCTTTAATATTAAGACAAAGGCCTAATTAGCCCCTCGATTTTGTTATTTCAAATTCTGATAACTGCATTAATATTTAGCTTAAAACAATAATCTTGGTATCATTTTAAAGCTCTTGGGCCCCTTATTCTTATAATGTAAGTCTTAGTCATTTTAAGTAATATTGAATGTTTTTTGTCACATGCCTACTAGTTAAGTTTTAATATTCCTCTAAACAAAGTCTTTTCAGATTTAAATTTTTAAACATCTCCTGATATTAATAACATGCTCATGCAAAATAAGGGGCTAGACAAAGTTTATTGTTTTGCTAAAGCACATTACACAGATGGGAGGGTGAAAGACTTTCTACCAGTTTGATTACTACTGCAAATATACATTTCTTTATAAAAATTAAATAAATCCAACATCCAATTGCTTCTATTTGATTTACCCTAAAACTGTCAGCAAAAGCAGAATTGCTTATAGATATTTTATACTGTGTTTTTCTTCTTCCTCTCTTCCTTAAACAAACCCAGGAGCCATACACACCTTATTGTGAGCATCTGTGTGTCGGATGACGTTCCTCAGCAACGTCTTTCCGAGCGGTTGCTTTGACATGGCGACACCTGACGACAGACGGATTTCCATTAAACACACCCGGTATTCAGAGAATGAGGAGAAACAGACATATTTCCATCAACAGATTATCCTAACAACCATCTGTTAGCTTTGCTTCTTAGCCAACACTGATAAATCTTAAGAATACCACTTTGTTTTTAAACACCACTATAAGTAAACCACATTTATCCGTTAAGCTACTCAAACTTCCTTAAAATGCCACGAATATACACACACTGTACCTCTTAAAACTCAGCAGCACTCGAAAGGAAGGAAATAGCAAAAAGTATTTACTTCCGTAGCGTCACTAAAGCGTCATAGAAATTGAACGATGATTGGACGAACGGCTTGTCTTCTTCTTCTTCTTCTTATGGGATTTTATGGCGGTTGGCAGACTTGTGAATTGTGCATTACCGCCACCAACTGATATGGAGTAAAGCAAGATAACAGGAAACGATTCACCCCCCCCCAAAAAAAAAAAAAAAAAAAAAAAAAAAAAAAAAAAAAAAAAAAAAACCTGTGTAACTTAAACCAACATAATACTAAATCACATTTGCCCATATAATTTTAATTTACTCTAGGTCATCTTAACTCTGCCAGTTTCTGATGGTCCCATCGGTCCTCCCATCATACTTCCAACCATCTCCCAGTTCAAATCTTTAATGTCCAGATATTTTTCTGCAGCCTTCACTATTATTTTGATTTTTTCCGTTTTTTTTGTTGTCTGTGCAGTACAATTAATTACTTCTACCATGAAAAGAACAAAATTTGTCTTTTTAACAATAAGTGAGTCTTCATTAATTTTTGGAGATTTCTCTAGAGGTTTGGAATTTGCTGTGTGTTGAACTGTAGGTTTGGGTTTTTCTGACTGAGATGGGATCCTTTTTGCAGCTTCAGCGTAGGTTATTCCGAGCTCAAATTTCATTTTTTTAATTTCCTCAGACCTTTTGCTTGCTTCACAGCCGCGATAGGCAGCAGTATGTTCTCCACCACAATTACAGCATTTTATTTTAGCTTCTTTTCCACATTTTCCGTACTCATGTTCTCCTGCACACCTTCCACACCTCTGTTTCCCTTTACAAACTGCTGCAACGTGACCGAATTTTTGGCATTTGAAACATCTCAATGGTGGAGGATTGTAGATTTTGACATTATAGCTTATGTAACCGATGAATACTTTGCTTGGTAATTGCTCTTCTTCGAATTTAATTAGCACAGATAAACTGTCAGATCTTTCTCCGTTTCTTGTTGTTTTTAACCGTTTTACTTCTTTTACTTTTGCACCGCTTATGTTTTCCAGAATCTCTTTTTCAGAAATTTTTAGAGGAACTCCTCCAATGACTCCCCTGCTGATCTTTTTGTTCTCCATTAGGCTGCACTGAACTCTTATCCCGTCAATTTTGTTGATACGTATTGCTTTGCCTTGCTGGGCGCTGTCTCTGCAGTTAATTAGCAGGTCTCCACTGTACAGAATTCTGGCACCTTTGACTTCTCCGACAAGTTTATTGATGGTTTTTGTTAAGTGAACCGGATTCCAATTTGTAAAAGAGTCTGCCTGATTAACGACTTTGAATATGACTTTGAATTCATTTTGTTGTGCTGTGGAATGTATGGAATGATCATCACTGGATTGTTCTGAACTAGATTCCCCTTGAACTGATCTCTGTTTTTTCCGCTTTTTCTCATTTTTTGATGTTGCTATTTTCCAACCTTCATTGTCACTATTTCCCTCTTCCATCCCACAAGAATCGCTTCCTGTTTCCTCACTACTCACGGCCCAAGACATTTCTCCATAAGCAGCTTCAAAACACGCGCCATGCACCAAACGACCATCCACCGAGCCTCAAACCCGAACGGCTTGTCCGTCGTCAAAATAGCGTTTCATGACGGAACAGAGCCAATGGCAGTTGTTTAAAAAGATCGAAACCTAAAAGACTTAAAGGGAAAGTACAAATAAATTCTACTTGACGTCTAGAGTAAGTTTATTCCTTTTCAAAATAAATATTTCGGACCACTCAAACTTCCTTGAAAAACAGCCATTAGATTTTGTTCATTTACACTATTACACTAATAATTTCAGTTTTCATACATATTAAACAACCCCAACACAATGAAAAACACTAAAAAGATTCATTTTTAGATAGATAGATAGATAGATAGATAGATAGATAGATAGATAGATAGATAGATAGATAGATAGATAGATAGATAGATAGATAGATAGATAGATAGATAGATAGATAGATAGATAGATAGATAGATAGATAGATAGATAGATAGATAGATAGATAGATAGATAGATTTGTATTCAATTAAATGATCAAGAAACATAATTTGAATTGAGAAAGCTTCCTGGAGAGGTGGCGAAACGTCTTCAAATCTTGAAAACCAAGTCCAGTGGATATTTTTTGAATTTTTTACGAAATGACTATGACCTGGATGACTGAGAACCTTCATCAGCATAAGAAACATAACATTTAAATTCTTGACATCCTCTCTTTCTGGGCAGTAATTTTGATCCAACATGAGATGTTACAGGACATGAAGGGATAAAAGGTGTTTCATTTTTAAATATGACTGAAATCAAACTCTTTGGCAATTTTCCAATTAAGGGTTAATTAAGGGTTAAATATTATAACAATATGCAAGAAATTTACATATACCAGAACTGACTGATCTTCCCTATTTGTTTTTCAGAATCTGGCTATAATCAAACAGAAAAAATAAATAAATAAATAAATATAAATGACTCATATGAGTCATTTATATTTATTTTTTGAGTCAACAGATCGATGAGTAAGAAAATGATCGAAAACAGAAAACAAGGCAAATTCAACAAATCAGTGGCTCAACAGACAATTTGCCATTTTCCACAGTAATATCCCCTCTGAAACTTCAATCATATGAAACTCTGTGACTTTAACTAAAAAGAAGTGAGCATAAGCTTAAATGTAGGACTCCAGATGAATCAAAAACTGTACAAAGAGGAATTATCAAAAAATCTCAGCATACTCAAGCAAAATATATATAACCCACTGTTGCTTTAGAAAAGTAGATCTGATGATGTACTGGCACTGTCTCTTTCAGCAGGGTAAAGGTCCCAAATATGTGTCCAGATTAACACAAGACGATTTACCGGACAGAAAATGACTCGCTCTGATGGTCATTTAAGTCTCCTGACCTAGATTCAATAGAAAGGCTGTGGAGAGAGTTGAACAGAACTGAGAAAAAGAAAAGTGAAAAATCTAGAGAAATTGTGTTAAACAGAAGGATTAGTCATGCATTCTGCCTTTATCATACTGTGTTATGCTCTGACAAAAATGGGTCTGTAAAAGTATAAACTTCAAATTTTTGCCTTCACTGAATTAATGTATTAAAATTTGAGGCACAGCATTCTGCATTTTTCAGTATCAGATTATACTACTGCAATAGAAGCTGAATTGTGAGGCTCTTTGTATTACTTTTATTAGGTGTGCACATCAACCTGAATAGTTCATATTTAATCATAGGAAAGGATCTAAATACGGAACAGTTCACAGCAAATAGCAGAAACAGGGACGTGTCCTGGTTTTAAGTGGGGGAATTTAAAGGAGAGAGCCTGCTGTGTAGGATCCACAAGGGGAAAAAACTGAAGGGCAGAAAATGGATTTTTCTATTTTAGAAAACAACTGTAGAAAAAAAAATAGGGAATGACGCTGCAAGAGAACAGTGGTAGAAGTTCAAATGAGGCACATTCCGCTGTAAAACAAAATGAAGATAGTTTAATTTAGCGCTGACAGTAAATAAAACTGTGCTGATTCAGTTATTACACTGTATTATTTGTATCATGAAATTAGTGTCACAGATTTCCTGTAATGAAGTCATAAATGCAAACCACTCCATCAGGAAATTTAGAAAATGAGAGTCAATGTTGCAAATTTTCACAAACGCAATGCTCTATGGCATTTCTCCAGCACATTGGGAAGAAAGCAAAATATGACCAAAAAATGACCTGCCTTCTTCCTCATACTGAAAACCAGTGGGCACTGTCAACATTAGGGATTTAAAGACAGGGAAGCAATTGCGTTATAAATAAAGCTATTTTGCGAAGGTCTCTAAGGTTCGTTAAAGATTAGTAAGCCTGTAACTTTGGGGTTATAAACATTAAATCTTTCAATACATGGTGGAACTCTTTTGAGTCTGTCATCTGAAAGAAGAGCCTGGCATTAGTGAAAACGTGCAAAACATGACCTTCCAACTAAACACGATGAAAGAATTTGTTAAGATCATATTTGGTTAAGCACTGCACAAACTGCACAAACCTATACTGTATTTTTTTGCCCAGTAGAAAGGCAACAAAACACATTTAAAAGAAATCTTTAGAATGTATATTTTTGATACTAGCCGTCTATAGGACACAACAAAAACAAGAAGATGCCAGTCAGATGAGACTACAAGTGAACTTGTCAGCCTGCATGCAGAATCCTATTTGTGGGAAACTCGCTAACACAAATTCTGACAATGCAGCATCATCCCATAGGGATATTATTTTTCAGCAGTGATGGAGAATTTGGGAAGATGTGAAAGGAAGATGGATGTATTTATAAATGGGGCAATGAAAACCTTTTAGGGGCTGCAAACCATTTGAAATCCAGCTAAAACCCATTGAGCTTTATGAAAGCTCTCTTTGTCCGTTCTTGACCGAAACCTGACCCAAATGAAGCAAAGTTTCCTCTGAAAGCAGGTACTCTGTGTAACCTACTTTTACTAAACTACTCCCCTCAGTGGGATCCACATAACACTACATGAAGTGGGCTCTCTGAGGCTCAGACAGCGCTCATCTAAAACGCTACATGCTAATGAAAAGCAATTAAGTAAATTTATTTGCAGACAACATACAAACAAGATGGATTAATTTGTGCAAAACAAATAGGTTGTAGGCTATTTAGGCTGTCCTAACTGTGATTGGAGGCTTTTTATAAGTCACAAAATGATGTGCGTAATTACTCTGTAAACTACTTAGGTGTTTTATCTAAGTGATTTACATTGATGTTTCTTTTGAGTCAGATTGGGTATGTTCCTACGTCTCCTGGTAAATCAGGTTGACTGTTGAGGAAACAGAAATATACTCTTAACTAATTTTAGAGGAAAATCTTACAGTCATGTGTCACATTTTGTTCTGAAATCAGAGCTATCAACCCTAAAACTAGGTTTTAAGCTGTAGTGACAAAGTCTAGCAA